ACCATACGTCGGGTACCAGCTACTACCCCTCACATGTACAACAGCTAACTCTTCTTTAATGAGTCCTCTTATCTTCCTTAAGACCCCAACCTCGAAAGCTGAAAAGGTAAAATTCCTGGTGGGATGACTCCGATTTGCAGTTCCAACTACTCCCTACATTACAACAACCTTAAACTTCATGTTAAGTTGAGTCCTCTCATAAAGAACTAGGAGTAGAAAGTTTAAGGCCACCAAACATATATATAATACTATAACTTTTACATGTACCGTGATATCAGAGAAAATCATGGGAAGATATGTCTCTACGACATACTCCTTGAGCTACATAAAACCATTGAACTTAGTTACAATAAAATAAGATCATCCTTGGGGTTGTTACCTTAATATAGTCCATCTTTACGGAGTACGTACCTGGAAATTCAATCGAATCTCTATTTAATGTGAACTAAAAAAAAGCTGTTACGTCCCACTTTCCACGACAACGTCCGAAGCAGTCGTTAAAATCTATCGCAACATTAATACTACAGCTCCAGATATCGTATAGTCGAAAAGTTACCTAGACGTTCTGGTCCTTTTTTTCTCCGTGTTTGTTTATTTTCCGAACACTCCCTTCCTAATTCTGACACCAAAAGTTTTTCCGGAAATTGAAAGTACGTCTGGAGGATATCTCGTCGAAGTTCGAATAGCAACGTTATGTCTATTGTTTCTAGTAGTTTCTCGCGGCAGAGACGCTGCCTGCGTCTGCGATGACAGCCCGCTGACACTCTTTAGTCTGGTTCCTCTTATTACACAACAATAGTAATGTACCTACCCTCCTTTTGATTGACTGTCGCCGAAAGAGAATTAACACGGTCGAATTCATACCCTTGTTCACGTCCGACAATAGACGCCAAGATCGTTAGTCGACCGGACAGTCGAAGAGAAACGTCGGTCTTCTGTAACAACATTTTTTCCAAATAGGTTACAGAAACTCGACCTAAGGATTTCACTGTCATAGACATGTAGGTGTAGACTCTCCCGTTTCCTGTTCACACACACTCACACACACGGGTCACCCAGAAAACTGTACTGTCGTCACGGAACATCGGGTATTCTGCAACTGAGGCTGAACTTCAAGGTCGATGAGGGAGGGGTAAATGTTGTTGGATTGAGTAAAAAATTCACCAGGAGAGTTTTCTTGACTAATAGAATTAATTCTGGGGGTTGGAGCTTAGACTTTCTGACTTTCAATTTTAAGGACCACCCTAATGTGTATTCACTCTCTGTCCTAAACGGCTTGTTGGAGCTCCTGCCCCCCCTCTCCCTATGAGCCCACTGTGCTCTGATTGGTCAGCTCGCCCACTCTGTTCTGATGAATCCACCACCGTTACCGCGGAACATCAGTGATTATGTGTTACAATGGCGTTAGCAACCAGAAAATGACACCAGTAATGACAAACAGATGAGAATGCTGCGTGGGGTCTGGGTGCCGTGTTGGCGGGACGTTGCGGGGCTCGCTGCTGCGGACAGTGTGAGCTGGCTTACTGGTGTCGTTTCCTGGTTGCTGCGTGGGGTCAGCGAGACACCGCAAAACTCAACCTGAACTCAGGCTGAGAAATCCGCGGAGCCGCAGCTGAGAAAAGATAAGGCTGAGTGAGTGAGTGAGTGGAGCTCCACGGATTGGTCCATTTGGACCTGGGCATGGTTACGTCACCATACTCAGGAAGAAAAAAAATGTATAAAAAAAATCTTTTTAGCATAGACAGGTCTTTTCTGTGTTAGAGTTTTACTCGTTACAGGGTGTACTTTGAGGGACTCTACAGACCGTTTACATGCAGAAAAAGCTACATAACACACAAGGGGGCGGGTAATAACAAGAAAAGCATGGGACCTTTAAGGCATTGTTTTATTAAAAAAAGAGAAAATATAAAACTAAATGCTTGTTGCAGCTCAATCGCATCTATTCCTTAACCCTTCAATACCATTAGTAATAATGAAATGCAGGTGAGCCGTCGTTATGAGATTTACTTTTCAAATGTTTTTTTCTCCTCAGGTTCCTGTACAACCGCTCTGGGGAGTGGAGTGATGGCACTGTTCCCATCCTGGCCACCACTGCTGCTGGCTTCACCTACGTTGCATTCTTAATGGTCAGTCCTACGTGATATATTCACTGTGGGGGTGTTAAACAAGTCGTGTTCATCACATTGCCTCTGTAGTGATTGCTTGTGTTGTCAAGACCATGGTTATGTTGAACAATTTGAGATTGTTAAGCAGCAGATCATTTTTAAAAAGTTCTAACTTGACATGCTTTTCTCTTTTTAGGTTCTAGCACTTTGCCACGTTGCACTTGGGCAACAGCTAAATTTGCACTGGCTCCATAAGGTAATGTGCCAAATGTGAGACGGAGCAACTGTGTTGGCGTGTGTGTTGTGAAAAATGGGAAGGTGGTTGATGAGTTTTGCATTATGCATCTATCTTTGTCTGTGATGTCTATTTCTATTTCTACCTGTCACCATTTGTACTGAGTCTAAAATGTTATCTGCAAATCAAATGCATGGACCAAACACTGTTCGGGGTGTGAAAGGGCTGAGGGCCATGTGGAGGTTAATCTGGTGTGTGTGGGAGTGAACATGTATTTATCCAAAATGACAGCCCCTCTGATTTTTTGTATCTCTTTCTCTCTCTCCGTCTCTACAGATAGGAGTGACTGCTGCTCTGCTCACCACCGTTATCGGGGTGATATCTGTCAATCAAACATGGGGGCAAGAGTGGGATGTCATCCCCATCTCGCTGCAGGTCAGCACACTGAAACACAGCGAAGCCACAAAGTCATGTTTCACGGCTTTTACATCACTGATGATTGAACGTTTGAATACTTAACTGAGTGCGACACAAAGTCAAGGCAGTTTATTATTCCTACTTAACAACCTAGACTTTGAACATTGCTTTGTGATCAAATATTTGAACTGTAACCACTTTTACCTGGATGAGGAAGTGAGGGTTGAAAACATCTAGTTTCACTTTTGTACCTTTTTTTTAGCCTGGTATTAATCTGATATTAATAAGTATCGAAATCAATCAATCCTACCTTTTAATACATGAAGTTTTAACAGTAAATATCTATATATATTATTATTATTATTTTGTTGTTCTCTTACAAGAAAATCCTTGGTGCTGGTGAGAAAACAGTCAATCCACATTTATCCTCGTAACAATTAACAGCTAAACGATTTTCGAGGAGTTGTGAGAAGCTTATAATTAGTGTGTCCCTGTGAGATTATTTCACCACCATGACTGTGTGATTGAAGTGGACGCGCTACTCCTCTGAAACTGATGCCATTGAAATTGAAAGCCCCTACAAATTATAGTTATTATCTCCGAGTGATGTTAACAATGTCTTAACCCCAGATAATGTGTGTAATTCAATGCCTCTCTCTCTTTTCCTTTTGTTTCTTTTCTCTTTTGCTGACTGTCTTTCCCCTTCGTCTCCATTTCTCTATATCCTATTTCCTTCATCTTCCCTACTCTTCCTCACCTCTCTGTCCAGGCCACAGGTCCGTTCCTGCACATAGGGGCTCTGGCTGCGGTCACAGCGCTGTCGTGGATCGTGGCGGGACAGGTCGCCCGCTCAGAAAAAACAAGTATGTTTACTTCTGCCACAAAGAGTACAAGTTACTGTTACCCGCTGTACCCTGTCTGCCACACACACACACACACACACACACACACACACACACACACACACACACACACACACACACACACACACACACACACACACATGGTAGGAAGAGTGGTGAATGATTAACTCTATGTAGACAGAGGCCAGGACCTCCACCCAGGGTGTCGGAGATAACGAACATTCCTACGGGCTCATGTGATGTTTTCCAGTCGGTACACCTTGGATTGTTTCTCCTCGAGTCTTTTTGGGGGATTAGGATCTCGTAGTGAGTGTTCTCACTCTCGCTGCCGTTGGTGGAGAATAGAATCGAAAGTCATTTATGTACCAATTTTATTGTCTTCTGAACAAAGAGAGCCTTGTAGTAATGTTGATTTAATCATTCATGTAAATCATAAAATAATTTTTTTATGACGATGGACAACAGTTTGTGCTACGGGAAATATTAATGTTATAAAAGTCCTGGATATATTTTAGTTTCTGCTTTTGGAGAGACATGATGAGGTGGAAATGTCTAGGCCACACTTAAGCATCTACCAAATACCAGAGAGGATGTGAGTGAGTGTGTCCGTGTGTGAGTCTCCTGTTCGTAACAAGAGTCAACCCCACCCTCACCTTGAAACGAATACATTCCCATGAGCGTGTGTGTGCGCGTTAGTGTGTGTGCTCCCACTCGTAGCCTTCATCTCTCACTTCCGTTGAGCTGAAAGCAGGGGAAATGTCTCCTTGGCCCCTGATGGCAATGTTGTCATACACTGAATACTGATAATTAACTTCAAAATTCACCATCCTCTTACGTCAAACATTACTTTCTTGTGAAGTTCAGTGCTGTGGATTTAATAGTTAATCCAACTGTAGGATGTTTACTACAAGAGACTACCTTGGCGTATGTACTGTATTAGTCACCCAGGTGAAGCTGCCAACATTGTGATTGTGCAAAAGAATGTAATAACGTGCTATTTATTATAAAAAAGCAAACAAATAAAGACATGACTACCAGTATGAGGAATGTTTGGGAGGAATATCAGTAGTGTAGATGTGAATGTGAGAGCATTATGTAGTGCAAGGTGTAACAAGCAAAGGAAACACCAAACAAAGGTCCGGAGCTGCTCTCAGGAAGGAGATCGGGGAAAAGAGTGAGAGCCACTCGGGATAGGAGCTTTTAATCTCAAGTAATGCGACAACCAGGTGCTCTCATCTGACACTCCCACCATCTGTGTTACATTCAGGGACAAACAATATGCAAGACTTTAGGAGATAGGCAGGAGCTGTCACAGTCACCATGGTCATTTTTTGCCATTACATTACATTTAGCTGACGCTTTTATCCAAAGCAACTTACAATAAGTACATTCGACCGGGAAGTTACAACCTTGAAGAAAACAGAATCATATAAGTGCATCAGGTTTCATAGAGCCAAACATTTCAAGTGCTATCCCTTAGGAGGAAGAAACACCAACGTTATTGTGACTCAGTCTGCGCGACACGTGCTTGTAGTTAGTGAGAAGTCATATAACTCTCGATATTGTAATTAGGTTCGTGTAATTTAGTTTATATTTAAGTTTTTAAACGTAATTAGTCTAACTTTGTACGGAAGCAACTACTATGATTGATTGTCGCATTATTCTCAAAAAATTTTGACATAAACTCGAATTGTACAATCGACACTCTCTCTACTACACTTCACTACGTCACTTACACTATAAATCATTATCTCCTACAGGAGCTAGGCTAGGGCAACTAGCCCCTAGCCTCGGCTAGTGCACTAAAAGTTTTCTAGCCTTAGTCCCCTCCCTTTTTTTAGCCCCTAGCCCTAAAAAAAAAAAAAGAATTTTATTAAAAAAAAATTTAAAAATAAGTTACGAATGTTGTTGCTTACCGGACAAGTTCAGAATTTCAGTAGGACTCCGGAAACAAAACCAAAAGTTTACTGTGTTGTAGTACATAACAACGAAGAAACCCGAACAAAGTATCTTGGACCAACGAATAAGAGAGTTAGACCGTTGTCCCACCCGCGTCACAGATTAACATCGTCAATCGATTGCGTCATGACTTTCGACAATAAAACAAAACTAGGTTACGGACGTGTCGACTTGACTAGGTACGACGACACTTCTTTCTTCGATTATAGGTACCACCTAATCTTATAGGTGTAAATTTATTTTTTTTTATTGGAATTCCCTGTTTGAACTTACGAAAAAAGGAATTACGTAACGTATCTAGCCTAGCCCTATTTGTAGCATAGCCGTTTACAGTTTTAGTTTTACTAGCCCTTAGCCTAGCCCTCGTTTTTTCCACTAGTCCCTGTAGGATTATCATTACAGATTTAGGCAAAGAAAGTGTCTTTCAGGGTTCAGAACGGTTCCTGTGTGACGTCTTTTTAGGTCATCTTGTATAAAGGGAGGGTATTGTAGTGGTCCACTCCCGCGTTCGAAGGTGACCCAATACAAACGAGCTGATAAAGTCAACGTGAGTGTTGGGTTCCAGTAATTATCCTGACTTATCGAGACTAGCGTCTTTCTTCTTTCTTGTTCTCTTTTTTTGTAGACATCCGTCAAAAGGAAGAACGGAAAAGGTTTGTGTTAGGAACTGTGTGTATAATTTCCGTCCATCTCGCACAACTTTCTACACTTTCTACACTTATTATTGATAACCAAATAACAACGGACCAAATAATGTGAAGTCTACCAAACCTCACAGTCCGTCTGAGTGGTACCCCCGAGCGGAACCACCGGTTCACTGTAGTCCCCGCACAAGACCCACTGACCCAGTACTACGTCCCCTCCTCTATATGCGCAAGGGTGGCATCGGGTCGTCGTGTGACTCGAGGTCGTCGGGGGTGGTGGGCCCTGGTGACTCTACTCTGTCTGGTCTTGTGTTAACACTGACTATATATCCAACACTATTGTTTGCAACTTCCAACCCTCACACGAATAAACGTCTGGCTTTCGGTCGTGAGTACAGAGTACATTACCATATATACTTCGAATGCTGTCGTCAGTCCATTCGAATGTAATCCTAAGTCCTGTCCCCTTGTCAATCGGATCGCGCAGGTTCCCTTTTGTTAGTCGGGATTGTCGGTAGATTTACGAGTGATTACTTGGCAAAGTGAACGAGGACTACATAGACAAGGTTTTTGATAGTATTTAGGAAGAATTGTTGAGCAAGTAACGGAAAAAACCAAGGACTCGTTACGTGGACGGTACTGTATCGACGTAGAGAATCGCTACTACCTGCAAGTAAGTACACCCCGTCTTCGAGTGTCCTTGTATCTCTGACATGGTTCGCGCGGGACCAATCGCACAGTGTCAAATATCCCCAGACGCACGTAGAGAACACCTAACGTGCACATGTAATTGCGTGATTATTTTGTAACAGGGTATATAGGGTTCTCGACGTGGTCGCTGACGAGGAGGACCAGAGTCGTTGTGGTTATTTCGGAATTCATCAAAACTATTCAAACGCGTCTTATAATTTCTACTGGAAGGCAAATACTGAGATCCACATATAATTTTAACCCTGTACAAAAACCGTACAAGGGACAATAGATTATTTCCCGACCGAATGGATT